TGGCCTAACTGGCCATTTTTAGGTGTACAGGTCGTTATGGTTAAGGATTCTGCTGTTCACTGCAATGTGATTTTCTTTCTCCTATTGTACAGGGTTACTATAAATGATTCATTCGTTTTTAAAACGCTATATTTTCCAAAGCAATACACGTACAAATATGATATATAAAAAGAACTGTAAACTCACCAAGTTTTCTTCACACTCTACAAATGTTCTATGTGTGCCCCTTGGGTCATACAACACACGTTCAGGTGGCAGTCGAGCTCGTTCCACACATTTTGTAGCATCATCCTGTCAATGGTCACCACTGCAGCATCGATGCATTCCCTCAGCTCTACTAGTGTTCTTGGCAGTGGGTGTATGTAAACACGATCCTTCATGTACCCCCAAAGGAAGACGTCACAAGGCGTTAGATCAGGTGTTCTGGGGGGCCATGTGAATAGAGCTTATGTCATCATCACCAACACACCCAATCCAGTGATGCCAAAGTTCATTGTTTAGGTAGCGACGAACATTGATGTTCCAATGAGGGGGTGCCCTGTCTTGTTCGAAGACAAAATCCCCTGAATCAGCAGCCAGTTGTGGAAACAACCATAACTGCAACATATCTAGGTAAGATGTACCAGTCATAGTTTTCTCACAAAACAAAAACGGCCCATACAGCTTTGTCTGGGACATTGCTCAGAAAACATTCAGCTTTGGTGAATCTCTTTCAAGTGTTACAATTGCATGAGGATTTTCAGTGCCCCACAATCTCACATGACGACAATTAACCTTCCCGGATAAATGGAATGTTGCTTCATCGCTGAATATCAACTTGGCAGCGAAATCTTCATCCTCCAATGCTTCCTGCATTGTGACACAAAATTCCAGGCACCAGCCATAATCTTCCGGTTTTAACTGTTGCAGGAGCTGCAGACGATATGGTCTGAAATGTAACCACCATCACAAAAACTTCCATACAGTTTGCCGCAGTAGTCCAAGTTCACGGCTTGCTCAGACCATTGATTTTTGTGGACTACGCATAAAACTTTCCCTCACTCTCTCCACTGTTTCATCTGGCACACTTGATCAACCGGTTCTTTTCCGTTTACACAGACAACCAGTATCCTTAAATTGCCGATACCACCGCAAAATGCTTTGTTTACATGGCGGTTCTTTTCCATACTCTCTTTTGAATGCGCCTTGCACTGCTATAACAGACGAACATCTCGCATATTCCAACAAACAAAAACTCTTTTCTAGCTTTTGTCACCATTTTGTAAAGGCACTGAACTCGTGCTGCCAACTGGTGCACACAATATACACTTGGTGAGTTTACAGTTCTTTTTATATATCAATCATATGTGTATGTGTAATACTTTGGAAAATATAGCGTTTTAAAAACGAATGAATCATTTATAGTAGTCCTGTATTTGCCTCTGATTATTTTGGTTATGTGAGTTACCATCCCACGCTGGGTGGGTCCCTCGTCACCATGGCATGGCACGTCCCCAGGTTGCAAATGGAGAAGGCCTCCAGATATGGAGAACAGTTGCAAATATATTAAATAACCAGTCGTGGACAGCCAAAAAAGGGCGGTACTCCAGCTTGGGGGGGGGGGCGTGAGGCTAACAACTCCTCACCATAAAAAATAAGCTTGATATGAAAGATCCCAAGAAGCCTCAGACCTGGACAGATTCTTTGGATAAACAACCTAAGCGAAAGAAAACGGATATGAGATCTGGTACTTGGAATGTTAGAAGTATGTATAGGGCAGGTTCGCTAAGGGCAGTGGCGGAATAAATCTCAAAATGAAAATTAAATTTAATGAGAGTATAGGAGATCAGATGGGACAGAGGTGGCACCGGACCAGCAGGCGAATATTCATTTTTCTATTGAAGGGGGAATGAGAATCATGAATTAGGTATAGGTTTCTTCATACATAAGAGAATCATATCAGCTGTTAAGAAGGTAGAGTTTGTCGGTGATAGGATATCATACATACTACAAAGAGTTCGGTGAGGTAATATCATCTTTCTGAATGTTCATGCCTCAACAGAGGATAAAATTGATGATATGAAGGAGAGGTTCTACGAAGAACTAGAATATATATTCAATAAACTTTGTAAATATTATATGAAAATTTTGTTACAAGATTTCAATGCCAAAGAGGCAAAGAGGGAAGACATTTTCAAACCAACAACTGGGAATGAAGTTTACATGAAATTAGTAATGATAACGGAGATAGAGTAGTAAACTTCACAACATTCAAAAATCTTATTGTCAAAAATACAATGTTCCCAAATTGTAACATTCATATATTTACTTGCACATCTCCTGATGGAAAGACACATAACCAAACTAACCATATTTTGATAGAATGGAGATGGCATTCAAGTATACTTTATGTTCGATCATTCAGGGCAGCAGATTGTGATACTGACCACTACCTCGTGGTGGCCAAAGTTAGGGAGAGACTGACAATGAGCAAACAAACAACACACAGAATTCATATGGAGAGGTTCAATCTCAGGAAATGAAATGAGGCAGAGGGCAAAGAGCAGTATCATGTTGAAAACTCAAATAGGTTCGCAGCTTTGGAAAACCTAGATACTGGGGTGGATATTAATAGAGCTTGGGAAACTATTAGTGAGAACATAAAAATTTATGCCAAAAAGAGCCTAGGTTATTATGAATTGAAGAAGCATAAGCCATGGTTCAATGGATGCTCAAAAATTATTAGACTAGAGGAAACAAGCCAAACTGCAGTGGTTACAGGATGAAAGCGAAATAAATGGGGATAATCTGAACAATATGAGACATGAAACCAGCAGGCATTTCAGGAATAAAAAGAGGAAATATCTGAAAGACAAAATTGATGTGCTTGCAACAAACAGTAAGAAGAAGAACATTAGAGAAATGTATAGAGGAATAAATGACTTTAAGAGGGGTTACCAACCTAGAAGTAACTTAGTGAAGGATGAGAATGATGATCTACTTGCAGATTCCCACAACATTTTGAATAGGTGGAAGAACTACTTCTCTGTCACTGAATGTACACAGGGTACATACAGATGAGCTGTTAGTACCTGATCCTAGCCCTTCTGAGGGTGAAATTGCTATTGTGAAGTTTAAAAGTTATGAAGTGCCAGGTAGTGATCAAATTCTGGTAGAACTGATTTAAGCAGGAGGTGAAATATTATATTCTAAGATCCACAAGATAATTAATTCTATTTGAAATAAGGAAAAATTGCCTGATCAGTGGAAGGAGTCTATTATTGTACCAGTTCACAAGAAGGGCGATAAAATTGACTGTAGTAATTATCATGGGATATCACTCCTATCAATTTCATACAAAATTTTATTCAATATTCTTCTCTCAAGGTTAAGTCCATACATAGATGAAATTATGTGGGACCATCAGTGTGAGTTTTGACATAACAGTTCAACTAGTGATCAGATATTTTGCATTAGTCAGATACTGGAGGAAAAATGGGAGTACAATGAGACAGTACATCAGCTATTCATACACTTCAAGAAAGCCTACGATTCAGTCTATGATGAAGCATTGTACAATATTCTCATATAGTTTGGGGTACCCATGAAACTAATTAAGCTGATTAAAATGTGTTTAAACAAAATGTACAGTAAAGTCCACATAAGTAAACATTTGTCTTACAATTTTCCTATCCAGCATGGTCCAAAACAAGGAGATGCCTTTTCGCCACTGCTTTTCAACTTTGCTTTAGAATTTGCCATTAGGAAGGTCCAAGATATCCAGGTGGGACTGAAATTTGATGAGACACATCAGCTGTTGGTCTATGCTGATGATGTGAATCTACTGGATGATGATACAGATACCATAAAGAGAAACACACAAACATTAATCGATGCTAGTAAGGACGTTGGGCTAGAAGAAAACACATAAAAATCTAAGTATATGTTGGTATCTCATTAGCAAAATGCAGGAAATATCAGGACATAAAGATAGGTAACAGATTTTTTGAAGATGTGGCACAATTCAGATATTTGGGAATGACTACAACAAATCAAAACCTGATCCACGAGGAAATTAAGAGGAGATTGAACTTGGGTAATGCTTGCTACCATTCAGTCCAGAACCTTCTGCTGTCCAAAAAACATAAAAATTAGAATATACAAAACTATAATCTTGCCTGTTGTTCTGGTTTGTCTCTGACATTAAGAGAGAAACAGGGACTGAGGGTGTTTGAGAACAGGGTGTTGAGGAGAATATTTGGACGGAAGAGATATGAGGTGACGGGAAGTTGGAGAAAACTGCACAATGAGAAGCTTCATAACTTGTACTCTTTGCCAAGTATAATTAGAAGTCAAGAAGGATGAAATGGATACAGCATGTAGAACAAATGGGGGTGAAGAGGAATGCATATATTTCATTTCATTTTCATTTGGCCTTCATAACTGCTACAAAAGTAACATTCGAACAAGTCACATCATTAAATACATCATTCTTGAAATCCTTTTGTCCAAATGCCTAAAGGATTATATAGGATATTGGCGGGAAAACCAGAAGGAAGCAGACCACTAGGAAGGGAGGGAGAATATTAAAATGGTTCTTAGAGAGAGAGGATTGGGTCATATGGACTGGATTCATGTGGCTCAGGATTGGAACCACTGGAGCGCTCTTATGAACATGGTAATGAACCTTGAGGTTCCATGAGATATTGGGATATTCTTGAGTAGCTGAGTGACTAGCAGCTTCTGATGAAGGACTCTGCTCCATGGTGTCAGTTCCTTCATCAGGCATAAGATTCATATTTGGGAAGTTTCTAGGGATTGCTTCACCCATTCTGAATGAGATAACTTAATGGTACTATGATTTGTTTCATATCCTACTTAATATGATCTAGTGAACGTGTATATATCTATTTCAAATTGAGGCTAGAATTACAAACCCACATATGGTAAACACATTTATATAACCTCTTACAAATGTATTTATTTACATGTGGCATAAAGTCAAGGCATTCAGCACTCACCTTAACTTCTTCTTTTACAGTTACAATAACTTCTGGTTCCAATATACAATCCTCCTTGCCCAATTCATCTGCCTTCAGAATTTCTTCTTCATAAGACATTACACAGCTTCTGTAGGATATGCAAAGGTCCATTTTCATCAACATATAGTAACACAACGATATATAGCATGTTCAAAGTAAACATAAGTTAGGGCAAATTATGGTACTGTTGTAGCAAATAAGTTGATCATATGCCTGTCAGTTCACCAATATTACAAAGCATATGATTTACAGTGCTATCTTGTAAACAAAACAAGAAACCTAAACCTATTATTGTTGCAATATTATATTTAGNGAGTGTATACACCTGATGATGGCCGTTTGCAGCCGAAACATGTAGTGTAGAAGAAAGCAAAACGAAAGACCTACAATAAATTGTTGCACTTAGGATGGAGTTTATATCATATATTATTGTTGTCTTAATTTATTCTGAATTAATAAGCCTATAAGTTATGGTAAAATTACAAGTTATGTAGGATCTAGGTTATTAGTGGAGTCTTTGAAGTAACAATAATAACTTTATATTAGATGACATAAGCCGGAATAGCTCTGAAGGTATAGCAACAGGCTATGAGATGGCTAGCTTGGTTCAATTCCCAGCAGGGTCAAGAAATATCTCTCTTCCACAGCACCCACACTAGCTCTGGGACCCACCCAGCCTCCTATACAATGGGTACCAGGGACAAAAAGACTGGGGTGTGAAGCCAACCACTCAGCTCCATTTACTAAAGAGGAAATGAATGGTGCAGCTGTACCTCCACTGTCCTATCTTCAAAGTGGTTTGATTAAGTATGGGGACAACTTTACCTCATTAGATGACATACTGTTCTGCTAATTATTCAGTGCTTATAGACATATTCAGAATACAGTTTCATCCATGAAAATTATATACTTTATTAAGAGAACCCTACAGATTTCAACCCTAAAATCATCATCGTGGAGGTCATTCGCATGTTGCATTAATATTCAAAAAAATTACACAAATACAGAATGCAAAGCCAATCATGAACATGAATATTTTATTACAATAACCTTATGGATACCAACCCTAATTTCATCAGGGGAGTTTTTTACAATGATCAGCTATCAAAGGATTATATATTTATACCCAGGTTCAATGATTATGTTTTATCCATAAGAAATACAAGGTGTTATATATCCTGAAACAAAAAACATATAAAGGTACAATCTTCCCCATGCATTCATATTCACCTCACAATTTTTCTGTACAAATCTAACTCTATGAAGCTGATTATTTCTTGAAAAGCTAACAGCTACTCAGCTATTAAAGACATTCAGAGCATTTTAGGAAACCAGAAGATCCATTACCATGTTCACAACATCCTGCAACTGGTCTCTATCTTCAGCGAAATGAACCCAGTCTGCTCCCCCTCCCGCCCCCCATTTTCTTACAAGTCATTTTAACTTCATATTCACCTCTATCTATATCTTCCTAGCAATCTCCTTCCATCAGGTTTGCCCACCTAACGAAATGTAAAAAAGGTGCAACAACGAACAAAATCCAGTTATATATCACATGGCATAATTTAAGTCATAAACCAATATTTAGGAAACCTTTCATATACTCCTCTACTGAGCTGAATTGGTCTCTTTCTTGAGATGTGCCAGTATTTCTTTTTTTATGATGCATTTAAGCTGTACTCCTAATCCAATATGCCACACTTCGTAACTTTCTACTTCACTGTATGAAATTTTCACTCTAAGCACTCTGCCAGTAACTGTGGAAAACGAACAAAATCCAAACCTCTTCGCATCTCAGGACCGCTCAGGACGCAGATAATGGAACATTATGAAGATTATGAACCTAAGACTTACCGATGTATGTTAAACATCACGTTTAATGTGCCGTTGCAGGTTGACACCGGACGACAATTCGAAACGGCGGAATTTTCACTGCATGTCAAAATTTCTTATTACTTGAAAATAGCAAATCTAAATGTACTAAATATACTCCAAAAAGTTCGTTAAATTCACAGATACTACAGGGATTTAAAGCATTCACAACAAGCAAGCGCACGATCGTAGCGTCCGGCAGTGTTGGTACACTTTACTTCTTCTCCGGTTAAATATTTCTTCTTAAACTAGCTGCCTATATAAAATAAAGTTTTAATAGCGCTTACATTTTACTTAGTTTCTAATTTCTGGATCAATAAATATCTAAACGTGCTATACTACACGATACCTCCCTTACATACCGAACGCAGCGTCATGGCATGCACGAAAAATGGCGTTTTATATCCTGTATGATCAGTTACTATTTCACAGATAGACGTCTTCACATTTTTAACAGCTACTCCCCAGAGTAGCGTACAGACACGGGCTTAAAATAGGACACGAATATTGTTACTCTCCGTGTAACTCTTATGTTAAGGTTCTTAATCATAGAAGTAATACGTGAAAAAAAAAACAGTATTGCATAAACATAGCCGTGATGCTTTACATGTATTGTTGCACATGCTGTAATTGACGTAAATGTTACATTCGCCGATTTGAAAATTTTTCGTTGTTAAATCTTTTGCTACATTCATACTGATGATAATTTCACTAACTTCCTAGATCTAAGATCTTAGTAAGTCGACATTTGCGCAGCCACTCATGAAATTCAGTATTACCGGGTTCACAACAGCCCGCCACTGGGCCCCATTCGAGCCAGATAAATCCTGTCCATATTCTCCAACCTATTTCTCTATGATCCATCTGGTATTATTCCACCTACAACTAGGTCTCCAAGTGCTCACTTTCCTTCAGGTCTTCCTACCAAAACCCTGTATGCACACATTTCCCACACGTGCTACATGCCCTGCCATCTCATCCTCCTTGACTTGGTCATTCTAATATTACAAAATATAAATGTCGTTAAGCAGTTGTCTCCAGTCTATTAGTTCATCCCTCGTGGATCCTAACGTCAATCTCCAGTCCATGTTCTCTTAATGTGAGAGAAATTGTTTCACACCCACAGCAAATTAGAGGCAAAATTACTTTTGCATACTTCCTCTATGGGCTATTCAATGACGCTTTCAAATCTAGACTATATAGTGTCAGATAGTAGAATGCCTTATGGGGACGAACTGTAAAGGAGTTCAAGGGAAATGATCACAGCCTAAATTAGGTACTAACCCAGTGTGTACCTGAAGAAGCTCTAGAAGAAACCTGTCAAATAGCTGGTCACCCTACGAAGATTTTGGTCAAACATCTCCTGACAAGTCTAAAGCATTATCTCTAGATCAGCAGTTCTAAACCTTTTTGGTCAACATACCCCTTGGTCTTAATGTGAGTTGTCATGCATTCCCTCTGTGATACTAGCTTAATCATGCATTACCGAAACAATAACATTCAGTTTAAACATACTATTAAGTTGTCTATTGCCAGAACAGTTTCACTGATCTTTTCAAGAGAAATAGTTAAGGGATTCCTTACCCATATGTCAGCTAAGTCTGCCAGAAAAGTTTCTTCTATGATGGTTTTTTGGTTGTCTAAGTCTACAGCACCACTCTCACTAACTTTTGCTACCAATGAACACTAAATCTAAAATTATTTCACACATGGAAGAAAAATTTTGCCAAGTTTCTTGATTTCATGCTTCTCCCCCAGGAAGTTTTCTTCTCTTGAAAAGTTTGAACCTTTCTTTGGCCTCCAAAATAGTTTTGTCTGTAACCTGTAGTGAAATTTTCAACAAGTTTAGAATTCCAAACACATTTGCAAGGTATGTCAAAGAATTCACAGGATCTGAATCTATGAAACACTGAAGCAGAATTTACAATTTTTCATACATAAACATCTCATATCACAAAAGTTTGAAAACTCATAACTTCATAACCAGCATGCTTCTGTGTGAAGCAGAATGATGTGTTCAGACCCAACTCTCTGCACAGTTCTTTGAACATAGGGGATTTGATGATGTTGCTCATAACAAATTTAAAGCCTGCACTATAGCATCCAATACAATCCAATCGTACATCATACAAATATGGAGGAAGACTGTCATTTCCACACCATGTTCTGACAAATGCAGTGATAAGTAATCACATCTTCTTGATGAGAGTTGTGAATCCTGAATTGTTTGCCAACATGGTAAAATCACTATCAGTACAAAATGCCTCTACAAGGTCCCATAATAAGCAGTGAGAATCGAAAAATTCATTCATCATAATCATGTCACTGCCTTCTTTATTCATTTCAGAGGTTTACAAAAGAGAAATCATGCTTTCATTTCATTCTGATGCACATGCCAAGACAAAACTGGAGGTTTGGCATAATTTGAGACATCAGTTAAGTCATCCAACTGCAAGTCAATTTTTGCCACACTTTCCTTTATTTGCTCCACCAGTTTGACTGCAGATATATCCATCCTACCATGTCTTTGATTAGATCACAAACAGTATTATTTGATAATTGGATCTGTGCTATTTAATTTTGCAACTTAATGACACATCAGCTCGGCCATTTCCATGGCACATGGTTAAAAAAGGCCTTCTGTGATGGCATGTGGCTTTTTTCCTTTTGGCAATCCTTAATGCCATGCAATCTCTTGCCTCCAGCACTGGCTTCTTTTGGGGAATATAGCCATGATTGGAATGTGTGCCCTCTGTTTCAAATCTTGTTTGCTCAATTTTAAATTAAGCTTCCGTGTCTACATCATTCTAAGGCAAACAGTCTGCAGGTGCTCTTTAAGCCTGATCAGCTTCATATATCCACTGCTAAGTACCGTTGTGAAAACCCTGCATTATGACTTTTACAAACCATCTTCATCAAGCATGAACATAAAGGCTTATTATACACATAAATCCTGGAAACAATTTTTTAACTTGATAAAATCATGGGCAGAACAAGAACTGCACACTGAAAAAGCAAATATGAGAAAAATGGCAATGAATTCCACTCGATATTCTCAAAATTCATGAACTACAATTCTTGCCTTTAAACACGCACACAAGCACACACATTGACAATAGCTATTTTAACTCTTAAATTCTTCACGACAGGCAGTAGCATAATTGGTTGAAGCTCTATGCTACAAGCCAAAAGGTTGCAGGTTTCAGTCCCAGTGATGGGGATTTTTTTTCAATTTACCTAATCCTTCTAGCCCCACTATGGCCCTGGGATCGACTCAGCCTCTAACAGAAATGAGTACGAGGAAGGGGCAATACTTGAACACATTGGAGAACTACTATATATATAGGACAAAGAAAAACACACACATGAATAACATAAATAAAGAAATATACACCCCAATATACCACGAATTAAACACTATCTACACAGAACAACATAACAACACCCCACCCCCTACCCCTACCACATCTACGCCCACATCATAACTCACTCAAAACGAAGACAGAACACACACACATACCCAGCAGGCCCAAAAGTATAACACACGCAGTCACAGGAGCAAGACACAACAAAAGCACAGTGAGTATTATTAAAAAAAAAAAAAAAATTATAATACCACAAGTAATAAATAAAATACGGAACGCTGTATTAATGAATAAAAAATTCACGTTACAGACACACACATGATAGTGAAGGAGTGCTCCAACAGAGGAGAATGGGCGTGACTGGCGTAGCGATGTGGTATCCTGAACAATTTTAATATTTTTAACGTTTGACATTTGTCAATGTATATGATAGATATATATTTTAGTTATTTTAATATGAGGATAGGCATGCAATGAACTAGTTTGGCGTGGATGAATAAGCACCTGAAGATGGCATTATTATGCCGAAACATGTAGTGAGAGGGAGAGAAGGAGATAAATGAGTGTATGCACTGCAAGACGGTTTAAATAAATCATGGACTTAAATCAGTGCAACAGGACGCTAAAATATAACATGAGTATCAGGAATCTTCCTGGGGTGTAAAGGGCAGCCGGTGCATAAGGCTGACAACCTTACTGCCATCCGTGAGCCAGTTGTCTAAGAGAAATTGTGTAAACCTCAACATTCCACAATCCTATGGGCCTTCACAGCCTGTTACAGAGATAGCTTTACCTTTGTTTTTTCTTTTACTCTTAAATTCTCTGATTACTAAAATATTAACATTTTCCAAGACTTACTAGTTTCTACTACAGTCTTTAATAACAAAAGGCCATATACAAATTTTGCTTGTAACAGCAATTAATATGACACAGAATACTGCATACTTACCAAACTGAAAGGAATGACCAGCTTAAGAGGAGCCCAAGTCCTGGGCAAAGGCCGTGCCATAGCTCAAGCAGTTAGGCGCTAGCTTCCCACCATGGTGGCCCGAGTTCGATCTCGGGTCTGGTCAAGTGGGATCTGTGGTGGACAAAGTGGCGCTGGGGTGGGTTTTCTCTGAGTACATTGTTTCCCCTGCCAATCTTCATTCCACCAAATTCTCCATCATCATAATCACCCGGGGCAGGCTACAATAGGCCAATCAGTGGCAGCCGTGCCAACTGTACCCAGTTGGACTCCACCCCCCCACTAAGCAAATTAAAAAAAGTCGTGGCCCCCCCCCCAAAAAAAAAGCAAATGTAACACTGTATGATACATGAGTGTAGTATGCTGGTACATAAGTCATACCAAAACATTCCAATTTACTCTATTAAAGCGGTCAATGCTGAAAAACACAGACACTTCCACAGCTACCCTTCTAGCAGATGCTAATCATTGCCATTCAATGCACAAGAATGAATAGAACAATCATGTTTACTTCTTCATCCAATACATTGTTACTAATACCACTGTTAATATTTATATAGCACTGTTAAGACATACCACACCAATATTGTCATTATTGTGAATGTTGTAGTTTCAATATTTGCAAGTACACTCAACTCTCGATTATCTGGGGAGCAGATAAACCGGTTTGCAGCTTAACCGGGGCTTTTTTGAGGCTTATATGTTGTTTAATATTCATTCACTTTTACAAAGAAAAAAACAATACCATCCAGTGTGACAATTTAAGTAAGGGTGATGAGTTTTCAAGTGATAAAAATCACTTGAAAACTCATCACCCTTACATGTTTCGATCCCTATGGATCATCCTCAGAGGGCATCAATACTTTTTCCAGAAACTACTATTACAATAGGTGTTAAATTATATACATACACATATAATGTCTGAAATACACAATGTACACAATGTTCAACTTTTCAGTCACAGCAGCCTTCCTGGTATTAAATTTTTTAAAGTTTTTTAAAAACTTTGTTGTTTAAGATTAAAATTTATAAACCATGCAGGTTTGTGTCAATTCTCCTATCGTCTTTCTTGGAGGTGGCTGATCTTGTGCCACCTGTCTATCTTGAGAAAGGAGATTCTTAGTACACTATAAATGTTATTACAAAACAAACTAGAATACAAAAATAAAAATAAAATAAATAGAAAGTACGAATGTCATAATTCCGAAGTACCAATTTTCAGAACCACTATTAAAGAATAAAGCATAATTACAGATGAAACTTAAAATTACATTTCTTAACAATGGAAGGAGTTGTGATATGATGTTACGTAATTAACATATACAGTATTCAATTCAATTCTCTAACAGTTAAAATATTATAAATCTATAATCTTCTTTATTAAATAACATCAATTTAAAAGAATTAACTGAATTAAAAGGATTGAAACAGTGGAACTGAATATAGCAAACCCTTGCTAATCCAGAGTAATGAACCAAAGTTAGCCTTACAAGGCAAAGAAAACTGACAGCACAGATAAATGGAAGATTTAATAATACAAGTAGTACTCGTGAAAACAAATAAAATATATCACTATGGAGCCTTTATTTAAAAACTATAAAAGCAATACATTTATTCATCGATCATAGACTAAGAAGTTGTACTTCTTTTTGAATGTACTCGTACTTATGCAGATTTGAAAGAACTGTCAAGTTCTGTCTGAACATACCTCTGCTGCTGTTCTTTACTTAGGATATCCCTCACAGTTCTTAGGTGTGCATAATACTCCTGCAATTTCTGACTTGCTGTATCAATGCCATTTCTTGTGGAGCTCAGAAGTTTATTCTTAATTGTAGATTCCTGTAGTTCATCTAGCTCTTTATCTGAATCTTCTTCCATAGAAGAATCCTTAATAACATCTGCAGCAATTTCTTCCTCTGTCAGAAACTGATATCCAGTGTTTCCTTCATCCAGCTGAAGCCAATCTTGATTATTTTCTTGTCTATGAGAGGCTTGTGTATTTTCTCATAGACCACTCAATGGCTCAACACATTCATCATCACCACTCCAGCTATTTCTATTAGTGATACTGTGCCTTTGTCTAAATTGCCACAGCCATCCTGAACTGCAAGTAAAATTGTGCAACTTCAAATGCCTTACAGACTTGTTGCTGCCATTAGCTCGACACAAATGCACACCAATGCCACTCCACCTTTGCTGTAAATACCACTTCATTAAGGCATCTTCCAGCAACACTTCTTTTGGCTTTTTAATATCTTTTTGACACACTGCTTTTATCACTACCCACATTGAATTTTAAAGCAAATGTCTCTATAAATTATTTTTGTTTATTAATATCTGACACAGTGTGTTGGCCAATAACAAATGCTTTAGCAATTTCTTTTCCAGGAACACAATTTTTTATTAATTTTACGCTGAATCAGTAATATTCAGTAGTGGTTTTGTTTCAACAAATGTTAGAGTTAATGCTTCATTTTCGGCCTTCTTATCATTATGCACTAGTGCATGCTGGTTAAGGATATCTCGCCGTGTGAAGCCTTTCCCACAAAACCCACATTCAAACGGTTTCTGATCAGTATGAAGATGTTTATGGGCTTTTAAATTTCCATAAATTGAAAACGCTTTGCCACAAATATGACACACATGAGGCTTTTCACCTGTGTGGATGTACTCATGCGTTTTCAAATTGCTGTGAGCTGTAAATCCTTTACCACATGTATCACAGACATAGGGTTTCTCACCGGTATGAATACGCTCATGTGTCCTAAGATTACTTAGGGCACAGAAAGCTTTCCCACAATCCCTACAGACATGTGGTTTTTGTCCAGTATGAATAAGTTCATGGGCTCTCAAATTGCTGCGAACTGTGAACCCTTTTTTGCAAATTCCACATTTATGCGGCTTCTCGCCAGTGTGTATAAGTTGATGTGTCTTCAAATTTCCTTGTACAGCAAAAGATTTTCCACACACTGTACATATATACTCCTTCTGTCCTTTGTGATGAAGTAGGTGTGTTTTCAAACTATTAAGTTGTACAAATATTTTGTGACATATGCCACACTTATACGGTTTCTCCTTCAAAGCAACAGTGTCTGGTGACTGGTGGAAGAATACAGGTCTACATAAAATTGGTGAAAAGAATTTATATCCGCCAGATGACTGAAGTTGGAAATTAGGTGACCTACTTGATGGGCCTGGTGAAGAAAAGAAATCTGGCTCGCTCGAAGGTGAAACTTCTTGTACACTGTGGAAAATGAAACATATGGTATAATTCAGTTTCATTCACATTTGAAGCTTGATGTCAAAGTCAAAGTTAACTGTCAGAAAAAGAATGAATTTAGTGTAACAAACGTTCAGAAACAAAACAGAACTAAACAACTTATTCTCACAACATGCAGATCTGAGGCTCTAAATAACTTTCTAAAAAGTACATAGTGCTAATGTTCTTAAATCTAATACCACGTTATCTCCCAGATTAGACTACAGTTAATAATTACATGTGGCTACTCTGTGATTTAAACATTACTCCCATCTGTCAGTAGGCCATACTATTTTACTGTGATTGAAATATTCAACAGAATAAATACTGTAGCAAACAAAGGTCAAGCTGACACCATCTCTTCATTGCCTTAACCACCTTCAAGGGCTTGATAAAATAATGGAAACACTAAGAAATCGAGGAACAGAATTTGTGTTGGCTACATTGAAAGAACTTCAGCTGGCAACACCGAATGATGTTCTTCCATTTGTTTACACTCTGTGGTGCTCATTTCAGTGCATTACTGATTGTGTTGAGCGACAGTCCATATCAAATAATCGGAAAATGGGAGACCTGTCCAATTTTGAAAGAGGACCGATCGCTATTATGTGTGTGTGTGTGTGTGTGTGTGAGACAAAACTCACACTATTATGTGCACCAAAAGTGACAGTTTCTAAGGTTATGTCAGCATACACAAATCATGGGAAGACATCAGTGAAGAGGAAAATCAACATTGACAGAAACAGATCATCGTACATCGAGAAGGACTGCTTCTAAAAATCACAGTACTGCCGCACTGGTGACAACAGAACTGAATATTCATCCTGAAGACCATGTTGCCACAAACTGTCAGATGTGAACTTCACAAATACAACCTCTGATTACTGAAAGCAATGCTCAGATGCGTAAATGATGGTTAATGCCATAAAACCTGCACATCAGACAAGCGGAAATGCACCTCGATATAGTCAGATAAGTCATCCTTCATGCTAATCCCTACATAAGGAAGAATTTACATTTGGAGAACACTCAAGGAAGCCTACAACCCAGAATGACTGGTTCCAATAGTGAAACATGTGGGAGATTCTGTGATGGTTTAGGCGGCAGTATCATGGTACAGTATTCTGTTGATCCAATTATTACCCTTCACATCCGAATTATAGCAAGGGAGTGCATGGACGGGTTGGGTAATCAGGTGCATCCCATGATGTTACATTATTTTTGAACAATGATGCACTCTTCCAAGATGACAATGCCCCAATTCACACAGGTGGAACTCTTCAGTCACAGTTTGAAAAACATGAAGGTGAATTTCAACATCTTCCCCGACCACCACAATCACTACATTTGATCACTGAAACACTCTGATCAGTTTTGGAGACTAGAGTGAGGAACAGATTCCCACCTCAACATCTCTACAGCACCCTGAAGACGTTCTTCAAGAAGAATGGTATAAATTCCACTAGGGACTGTTCAAAACTCATACAAGTCCATTCCAAGAAGGAATGCAGTTGTACTGAAGTCAAAAGATGGTCCAACACCAAATTAATAAAGAAATGTGTACAGTAACTATAATATTTCGATTATTTTGTTCAACCCCTGTATATCAGAAATACGAATAAAGGGAATTTTTAGTATGCAACAAAGAGTAAAAGGTGTGAAAGTCATCAGTCCATTGAAAATCTGAGAAAAATAATATAATTTGGATCCAGCATCTTATATGACCCATGGAACTGGTCAAGAAATACTGTTCATTATCACAATTTTTCTTTAGGTGTCATGTTTTGAGTTATTTTTCCACACTGCCTCACATCAATTATAAATTTTTGAAATCAATAAGAGAGCTGTTTTTACATGCTCAATTCTTCCAGTCCCACTGTCTGTCATATGTAATTTTGGCTTCTGAGTGTTAAGTACATCGCATGCTGAAACTGTTCCAGTGTCTCAGCATACACTGCAATTATCAACATCAGACTAAATATGAGGTGGGATAGAGTGGATCAATGTAGAGATCTAGCATTTGAAGTTAAGGGTCAGGAAGAAGGGCAGAATCTGATGTCATCCAATGAGAAGGGGCAATGTGCTACTAAAAAGGATCAGAGGAAAGAAGTGAAGCCCAACTATATACATTTTTATTTGATATCGTGATTGAAGTTGTGGAGGTGGCTGACTTCTACAGTGGCTTCCTTGGGGATGTGGGAACAGTAAAGGCCTTTGACTGGGGCTTCAGTTTTATTGAAGTGACATTGTGTTTGGTCTCCATGGAATGAAGGCAGATATAAACTGCATACACTTTAGCTTCACCTCTTTCTCTTCAACAGTTCTTAACCACATGGTTCCTTCCAATTGGATAACACCAGCAACCCTTGCCATTTCCCTACTCCCAATGCAAGATCTATGTTGTTCGCTGCCACCTGCTTCACTTCATTCAATGCACAGTGTAATGTTGGTATAGCTTTAACATATAAAGAGGCAAAACCCAGAAAAATGAAGTTAGATATTTGCCATGAAAATCTAAGGACAAAAAAAAAGGCTCGAGTAAGTGGTAAAATATACCATTCTTGCAACACAATAAAGCTTCCATGCATTCTGTTGCTTCTAAAGATGGTTTAGCTTTTAACTATTTTTAATCTTCATTTGTACAACATACATCAGTAAAAATTTTGAAAGTAAGACTTCAAAGCATTCTTTCTCCTCCTACTCTTTCACACTCAGTACCATTTAACACTTTCTTTGATATTGTTTATCTTGGTGAGGTCATATGTCAGTCTGTGGACAATGTGCACAAATTGAGCCTTGTTATCTGTACATTTGTTAAAGCAATAATGGGTAGTGATTTATTTCAGAACAGTATCAGAGTGTTTATAGTATAGTATTCCACTTAAGAAGTGTCTAAAATTAAAATTCTGAAACCAGAAGAAAACACACATTTGCAACACAGAAAAAAATGTTTTGATATATTAATGTAAAATAAAATTGATCTGTATTTTTAAGCAATCATCTGACCAAATATGTTTAAAAAATAAAGACTACTTGCCATCTGTGAAAAAATCCATGCTAGTATGTATGCCTGAATATAAAGCAAATCTATACAATAAAAAGTGTAAAAGATATCTTTCTCATACAAAGAAGAAAACAGAACAGGCCTGTATGAATTAATTCTTCTTGCCTTCTTGTTCCAGGAGAAAATGAGGGCAAATTTATTACAGCTGAATTATTATATAACTATATAACCTCTCTCATTCTCCACTACACCCTAAGAAAATTTCTCACAAACTTGCTAGGCATAAATAATGACAATGGAAAATTCACAAATGTATATTGCGTGCTTCATGTATTGGTATGAAATGATTACAGAGTGAATGTGAAATGTGGTAACAAAGTTTGGGGATGAACTTCACACCAAAACATGGGAACAAGGTTGTATAAATAAGCATCTGTAAACACCTTCTTTCCAAATTACAGACCGACAAATTTAGTGACTATTTCAGCTGATGTTACCAATTTTGGTGGCTATAGGCTAGCCTGCTGTAGGTCTACATATGACCAGCACATTTTCTATTAATGGTGTTATTGGTATCACTGGTTAGCAGTCCAGCTTCAGCATCTGCATCATGCTGATCATGTCTACTGCTTATGTGTAGTGGCAAATTATACAAGAACTGCTACAATACATAGGGTGAAATTCTAACTTTCTTGTGCTGTTATTGTGAATGCTACAGCATGAATTTTATGAATTGGCACGCATGCAATCTATGTATGGCCATACAAATGGCAATGGTTAGAAGTCCTTGTCTCTACCACATTAATGCCAACCAAACCATAAAATATTTTCCACCACTGATCATCCACTCAGAGGGACCAGAATATTGAAGCCTCTTGCTGTCAATTGGGGAAGAAAGGTAGGTTTTGGTATAGATTTGATCATAAATTTTCAGAACAACCATCAGTGGGCACAAGACAATCCTCATGATGTACCACAACGGCAATAGTTCAGCATTAAGGTTTTAACAGGTATTTTTGGATTGAGGAGTTATTTCAAGGAAATAGCAGCTCCGGTCTAGAAAACCGAAATTACCAGCCATGGGGATTCATTGCACTGACGACGCAATACCCTCCATCCGCAAATTTGGCACTAAACTTCACCAACAAGTGGCGGTCGCTAGGTCGATTTAGTTCACTTGCGGACTAAAATCACGGAGTTTGTTGGCGACTATTTGGTAGGCCCACAAGTTTTGCCACATCAGCTTATAGGTGCCCACTACAAAGATTTTCTGTTAAAGTTTGCCCAGACAACTAGAAGATGTACAACTAGCAGTCAGAGAATGCATGTGGTTTACACATGATGGTGCTCCAGCACATTGCAACAATTTTGTGTGAAATGTCCTCAACAGTATCTATCATAACCAGTGGACAGGTAGAGGTGGACCCACTATGTGGTGCCCACACTCACCTGATTTGAATCCTCTGAATTTCTACATGCAGGGGCAGTGAAAAGCCTTTCTGCATTCAGATCCTGTTTGCAACATGAATACAGTAACACATCAGAATATCCACAACTATCCTAGGATCTTTGAACGAATTTGACAGTCCATGAAAAGACATGCCCAAGCACATATTAAATCTCATGGATGACATTTTAAGTACTTCTCACAAATGTGTCCTTTCTGAGTTATAAATCAGAAAGCAAGCATTTTCGGACCCATATTTATATGAACTTGTTTTCTGGTTCTGGTTCATGGAGCTCATCTCTAAAATTTGTATGCACATTTCAGATTCACCCTTTATAACACAAGTAGAGAATAAATGTTTGTCTTCACTGCTCTTAAAATTGCCTTTCTTAATATTAACTTAATACATATGTTGTGTCATTGGTGATTCTGAGATAGAATACATGATCAATAATTCCATAAGAATAAATGGAAACAACAAAAACTGGTGCAAAGACACTGCACATGTTTTCTCGTACATGCGGTAGTGTAGTTGATTGAGCCACTATGCCACGAGATGGAAGGTTGCAGGATTGAATCCCGATGATGTCACTGGATTTTTCAATTGACCTAATCCTTCCAGCCACACTATGGCCCTGGGGTCGACTCAGCCTCTAACAGAAATGAGTACCAGGAATTTTCCTGGGGGGTACGGGGCAGCCAGCATGTAGGGCTGATAACCTTACCGCCATCTATGAGCCGACTGTCTAGAACAGCTGTGTCAAACATGTGGCCCGCGGGCCACACAAGGCCCCCATAGCCACAAAGTGCAGCCCCTCAACTTTTAGAGCTAATTGATATTAAAATCGATATTAAAATGTTAGTAGAAATATTTTTTGTAACAACAATTTTCCAACAGACCAGAAGACACGAAGTCTCACGCAGACATAAATTAGCAGGCTGCAGGAAAAGTGATTCTGAGAATTGAAGAAAGGTTAGTCCAACTAACGGTTTGTAAAGTTCGTGAAGGACAAACTATTGTATTTCAGAAGGTTAACGCACTAAAATCTGCACAGCCTCACCACCTCAAGTATTTCCAAGAATCCCTTTTGGAGGCGTAGTAAGAATGCAAGGAGGGTGGCAACTGACAAGTGCAAGGGATTTCTACCTTCAAAACTAGCTTGCAACCCCCAGCCATTGTCTAATGGGCTGCTAGAAAACTTTCACTTTTATGACCATTGAGACAAGATACACCTTCCTACTAGCCCGGTAGTCTCTTGTACATTGTCATTCAGTTCATTTTCACACAGCGACAGGTGCTGATATTACATTGTGATGAACGTATAAAGGTTATAATTAAACATTAAATTATCAACTATGAATTTTCTTGTATATGTACAGTAACTTTTAAAGGGTAATGTCACTTTTAAAAAATTCAAGTAGCAAAAAAAGAACTATTGAAAGTGAGCGCCGTGTTTCTCAAGAAAAATGGGAAATTCCTTATTTCTGTGAAATAGAAGGTAAAATTACATGTTTGATTTGTGGGCAAAACATAAGTGTTCCACTTTATGTAATTATATTGAAATTATTCCTAAATAATAAATAGAATTAAATTTCCTTGTATCAAAATCTAATGTATATTATTAATTTGAAGTGCGGCCCTGGACTATTATTTATAGGGCTAAGGTGGCCCTCTGTACAAGTTGAGTTTGACATGCCTGGTCTAGAGGATGCTGGAGCCTCGACTTCACACACCCCTATGGTCCTCCATGGCCTGTTACAGGGACAGCTTGGCTGTGCCATAGCTCAAGCGGTTAGTCAGTGGCTTCCCACCACGGCAGCCCGGGTTCGATCCCGGGTCTGGTCAAGTGGGATTTGTGGTGGACAAAGTGGCGCTGGGGTGGCTTTTCTCAGAGTACTTCAGTTTCCCCTGCCAATCTTCATTCCACCAAATTCTCCATCATCGTAAGCACCCAGGGCAGGCTACAATAGGCCAATCAGTGGCCACCATGCCAAGTGGACCCAGTTGGACTCCACCCACCACTAAGCGAATTAAAAAAGAAATTACAGGAACAGCTCTATTTTTTTTTTTTTTGCCTTTTACATGATTGATCCTGATTATGTTAACATGTAATTGAAATCAATTGTTGCTTAGTAGACCTTAACAACAATATACAATTAAAACTATTCAACAAATCAAGACATAAAATATCAGTGTCTGAAATATCACAACAATACTAACCCATTTATGTCCATTTTCCAAAATAATTAACTTTCTTCTACAGTATTATACAGAAGCAGTTCATATAAACTGTTCAACTGCTGTCACTATGTTTTTGATGCATAAGCAACCTCAACATGAGAAGAGCATCCATGACATAATCCAGGGCTTTCTGAAACACAAATTATGTATGGCAATATGTGTCATTCATGACTAGGATTATATGAACTCAGTGTATTTTCTGAATTTGCAATAATTTCATACAAATTGTAAAATGTCCAAATAATTTTAAAACCTTTACAGAAGAAACTTTTGTATAGGTATTAGGGATGAGGTTAGCAGAATTATTAGAGAAAACTAAATACTGACGATATGCAAGACAGATCCAAAATCACAGATCTGTTAAAGAATTAAAAGAATTACACACAGGCTACACACAATGTCTGAAGAAATATTTTTTGAAATGCAAGAAAGACCTCAGAATATTGTCTAAAACATCTCTCATCATACCCTGAGTAGGAAACCTTATGGAAGGAAAGTCCTGTGCTTTCAATGAGACCTCCAATACATAATTTCTTATTCGAAAATAGAATCTAGTGACGTTCTAACAAAGTTGTAACACTCTATGTCTCTACTTTATAATGATCTACCCTCAAAGATGCTTTAGACACACTCTGTAAGACCATGCACAGACAATATTTCTGTCAATAAAATAGATAACAGGAAAGGAGAGACAGTATAAGCTTAAACTCACTAACCTGTTACAAATTACATGAAAACATTTTACATGGTCAGAAGGGAATTATTATGGAAAGTTTCAATTTTAAACAAGTAAAGAAAATATTGTTAATGCTTATCTTGTTTTAGAGCAGTTATTTACAGTTTGTCACAATTCTGATATCAATTTGTTTTTGTTAACTATTATTCCATTAAACACCATGGCAATGTCTTCTTGTACTTTTCTTGTTGCTGCTAGCATGAGACTCACTCCTTGCTCTTTGTCGAACAGTTTCACCATATATGAACATCGCATGCTGCCTCTAAGTGCAGACTGGCTTAACTCGCTAATTCTATGAGTTTGTATTCCAGTGTCATCATTCCCAAACATTCTTGCGGGATCTTGGTCAACCTCGGTTAACTCAGCATTCACAACAATCCAGAAGGGGTAGAGATTGAAGTGTTTCTCAAACAGTGGTACACACAAAGGCTGGCAGGTGACCCACCTCCCCCTGCATTTGGTCGGCATGACAATGTTCTCCGTAAGGCTGCTCTAGAAAATACCAGTTTGTCCATGTGCATTGCTATCATCTTTTCTCTGCGATGACATTGGGTCCTGTAACCTAAACCGCTGATCCAGGCCACCACCTTGTAAGGGCCTTCCCATGATGGCTATAGCTTGAACGATGTCCCTCTGATCCTACAACCAGACTGGTTTCCTTCCTGCAATCCAGCAGAGTTCACTTGGGACTGTAGTGAGACTTCACACTGTTGTTTGTCACCTTCAGATGTCAACAGGTGTAATGATGGATGTCATGCAGACATTCCATGAGGTCTGCCATGCAATGGGTCATAGGTTGCTTCTTGTCTGAGGGAGCTCCAAACAGGTCACACACCAGATGTTGATTCCTCCTGAACACTATTCTGCCAGGTGTCATGCTTATGGTCTGGTGGAGCTGTGTAGGCCAGGAGGGAGAAGAGTAGTGTCTCATCCAAATCTCTCTGGATTGTCCAACAGACTTTCTGCGGGTGCTTCTCTATTGTCTTAATGTAAGGTCCCACAATGTCATCCAACTGTGGAGCAGAGTGATACTGCGCCTCTTGCAGACTCAGTGATGCCATAACTCTTCCTGCAACAGTTGTAAGTTGAAGTTCTGTCCTTGGATACTGTTCAGGTCCCTTGGTACACTGACGCAGCAGAAGAAGTCAGTCACCAGAACATGGTGATTTTCAGCGAATACATTGTTTTCCTCAATCCAAAGGCATAATTTTTTTCCTCCAGAGCTCACAATTGAAACATCCTTCATTCTCACAGTTTCTTCTCTGCATGTTGTCCCTAATCCCATCCTTCATGTGTTGACTGGTCTGCCACACCTCCTTTTCCCTTGTAGTTTCCATTCTGCAAGCTGCTAAGCAATTTTGCAGTCCTCCATTCACATAACGTGGCCGCACCATCTTAAATGCTGTTCTTCTATTTCCTGTAACCTGTCCATCATTCCCATTTTTGTTCTAATTATTTAATTTCTAATTCTATCCATTCATGACATCCTTGCCGAACATCTTAGACAATCCATTTCTATAGCTAATAACTTACGTCTGTGTTTCTGTTTTATTGACCATGTTTCAGCTCCATATGTTAATACACTTTTCACTATTGATTTGTATATTAATAGCTTTGCTGAGTGTAAAATTTGTACTCCATAAAAGTGAATTTAGTATGCTAAAGGTCAGATAAGCCATTTCTCTTGAACCACTGATCCAAAATACTTAAACTGTTTTACATTTGGAATTGTTGATCTGAATGATCTGTGCCTAAATATTTCGTTTTCACAATTTTATTTTAATCATCATATAAACACTAGACAGTTTAGAAAACTATACGTGTCATAAGTGAGATTATCTTCAATCCAGAGAGGAATGTTATATTCATCCATTATGGTTTATAATAATCTTCCCCAAAATATACAAAGGATGAGTGATAATGTGAAGATTTTTAAATGCACACTGAGAAGTTTCCTCATGACAAATGCTTTTTATTCAATAGATGAATATATTTCTGCTAAGCATGTATAACATTTAATAACTATATTCCTTGTAATTTTGTTTATGAATGACAATGTAAATCATGGTTATTTGGTGCTTTTGGTTGTGTGTGGTTGTTTGCTGTTGACACAGCTGTACTTCTGCAATCAAGTCTTATTTTGACGAGTTTAATATCCGGTCCAATTCGGACAATGGATCAGTGAATTTATGAATTATGTATGTATGTATGTATATATGTAAGACCACATCTCTCACATTCTTCCTATGTAATTAGCATCCTCTTCTCTAGTAATTATAAGTTGATCATCTAAAAAGAGCAAATTGTGCACATAGCAGTTTTCTTCAATTTTTAATTCCATTCATTTGCATTCCCTAGACCTTTTTTCCAATGATGTATTGTACATTTTGAACAGGTTGGTGACCCTGGGCAACCTTGTAACAAATGCTCTGTGTTACAGAATTCATCCAACAAATTTTATCTTTTTTCTTCTTCATTGGCTATTCCTATAAGGAAGTGGGATGTCTGCCATTGGATGTTGCCATGAAGCAATGGACAGTGAAGACTTTAAGAGACTGAGAAGACCTAGTGTGACCTGTGCTGGTTTATGAAGCATGATCTAGCTAAAGCATTTGACTGCGTTAATCATGACACTTCACTGCTCAAATAACATTGGTATGGAATAACTTTTAAAGCTAAATATTGGATTAAATCATACCTTGTGGATATATAAGGTGGTTCAAATATGACCGGGGCTGATCTGTGTGTAAACAAGCCGCACTGTGCAGCAGCTGTGGGACCTTGAGAAACTGAAGCCACAACCTCCGCCCTCCCTCCTGTTTGGGTTAGAACCTGTTCAGTCTTGTCTGGGAGTTGCTAGAGTGATGAGCAAACAGAAGGTACTGCGGAGCCTGGAACAACACACTGTAATCAAATTCCTCGTTGGAGAAAACGTCCCATCCGCTGAAATTCACCACAGACTCCAACAACAGTATGGGGAAGAGTCTCTCTCACGGACCCATGTGTCTGAGTGGTGTAAGTACTTCAGAGAGGGCAGAGAGCACGTGGAGAATGAACCGCATGATTGTTGGCCGTGAATATCCATCACAGAGCCAAACACTGATCGTGCAGACGTGCTTATTCATGAGAATAGGTGCATCACTATCAAGGAACTTGGAGCAATGCAGTCCATCAGTGTTGGTAGTGTAGAAGACATTGTGAAATACCACCTGCACTATCGCAAGGTGAAAGCATGGTGGGTACCACAAACTTTGATGGACGCGAACAAAATGGTGAGCATGCAAGCTGCCAGTCGTCTCCTACAGCAGTTTGAAGACGAAAGTGATGCATTTTTTAAATCTATAGTGACCACCGATGAAACGTGGGTGAACTACTTCATTCCCGAGTCTCAGCAGTCATCACGCGAGTGGCGGCATACCAGTTCTCCCAAACCCAAGGGAGCGCTGAGGAGCCATTCAGCAGGAAAAGTGATGGCAACGTTCTTCTGGGACTGGCAGAGGGTTATCCATGTAGACTTTCTGACAGATGCCAGAACAGTCAATGCAGCTTATTACTCAGACGAAGGAAAAGTTCTGATCCAAGCAGAAGACAGGTGAAAAGCGGGTAGCCTTCCTTCAGGACAATGCATGCCCCCATATGGCCAAAACAACAATGGAAACCCTCCGGAAATTGAAATGGAACCTTCTGACACATCCATCGTACGGTCCCGATTTGACCCCCAAGTGATTCCTCCTACCTGTTCGGAAGGCTCAAATCAGACTTGCAAGGCATGCAGTTTGTGGACAACAACACCGTCATCCAGACTGTTCAGGAGAGGATACACCACCAACCAGAAGCATTTTTTCAAAAGGGCATCAGGATGCTTCCAGACCATTGGAAAAAATGTGTTGACTCTGGGGCAGAGTACATTGAAGACTGACATGTGCAAGTAAGCGTTTGGCAATTACAGTTTAAAAAAAAAATAGTCTCAATCATATTTGAACCACCTTGTATATTAAAGGATGGAAATAAAAAACAAACTTTAATCATCAGATAGCTTCAAAATGGAGTAAAATAAGGCATGGCATCCCATAAGAATCCATACTAGGTCCATTGCTCTTTCTTCTCTATGTAAATAACATGCCAAACTTTGTTAACAATAAATCTAAACCAATTCTATTTGGAGAAGATACTAGTACAATAGTTACAAACTCAAATCCCACAGATCTTATAAGTGACATAATGATCATATTCAAATACTTAAATAAATTGTTCAGAGCAAAGTCTGCCATTAAATTTTTAAAAAAACCATCTCATACAATCTGCAACTAAATATGGACCCCAGATTAACCTGGATGTAAGCTATGCTAACAAAATAATTTTTAAAGCACATGACATGAAATTCCTTGGACTAC